TACACTTTTTAATGCGACTATGATCTCGTTGAGCATAAGAAAAGCCCTGTTATTCTCCTCTTCCGAGCTAATCTACATAAAGCACCAATAGTAAGTAAAGGTTAGGCCACACAAGATGTCAGAGAAAAAGAAATTCATGTTCACGTATTTTGATGAAAAAATTCACAAAAAATACAACTCCATAGAGTTTTTCCTTTTCCCTTCAATAGTAAGCATTGTGGCTTCAAAGTTCAAATATGAAAATAACCCATGTTAACCCACAGTGATGATTTTTTTTTTTAGAATATAAAAAATAATAAATAGTGACCAACATAATCATCAGATAAATCTTTTTTTAATAATAAAAAAAAATTACATTAATTAGACAGGACAATGTATCCTCCAAAATAAAGTTGAGCTAGATTTAGAATAAACCCCAATTGAAGTTTGAAATAAAGACAAACAAAAGAAACACCAAACTTTTAAAGGACAATATTGCTAGACCAACAAGAAAACAATGACTCAATACGTGAGAAATTCAAACTCTAGCATGAGCAACCTCAACTTCAACTTTATACCAAAAACCTATCAACTCCTTTCCAAATAAATAACCCAACAAACAGTAATGAAAACTGTATACAAGCAAAAGATTCTTATTCCTTCCACCAAAAAAATCCCACCATCTTCCTATTGTTAGCCCAAGACCTTTTTTTTTTTTTGGAAACGGAACAATTTCATTGATCAAATGAAATGAAAGATGGGGGAATACAAAAGGGGAGAGAACCCATCTAGGGTCACAAAATGTTAGCCAAAGACTGTTAAGGACTAGGATTTCAAATTTCTTTGGCCTATATTCCAGATGGACACTTATTTTTTAATTATATTCTCTATATGTACATACATCGAGTCTTAAATCCTCTTATATATTTCAAGTTGTCTTCTTCTAATATAATCCTCTATTTTCTATCTAAAAAGAAAACATAAAATCTTTCAAGGAAGAACTTGGACCTTTAATGAATGAACCAGAAGAATGTGGAAACAAGCAAACCGACTTCTTTGAGATGAAGTATCAACAGGAGATTGCAGATCAATTAAAATATCTGCCAGCTCAGAAAATCTAGAAGAAGCAAACCAAGCATGTTCCTGCATCATTCCATGAACGATTAGACCTAAATATAGTATGACATAGTTTTTCTGACCATAATAAAGACACGGTGATATCAACTAATATTCGTCACAACCAACACTTGATATATGAAGCAAAACTGGGTTTGGTTTGAGTTGTCAAGCCTATAGGCTGGTCTCAAGATATAGTGGTAGAGTTTTGTGGTTTGTTGTTTAGTTTAACTGTGATGTTATAGTTGGACTGCTGGTTGCTCATGTATTCGGTTGTTTGATGATCTTTTCTTTTCATTCCATCAACGAAAAATTCTTTTCCTTTTAATTTTTTTTTTTTAAAGGATATACAGAAAAGCTAGATTTTTTTTATTATCACTTGCCAATACTGCTATGATAGAGTAACTCGTAGTTACAAGTTAGTAAGAAGCTGGTTGGTTTACAAGGTTGTCTGTTTAGTATCAAAGTGAGAATTTGTATGATCTTTGGGTTGCCTCCAGTTTGGTAGAGGATTAGGAGGTGGCCGCTTTCAGAGTGATCAAGAAATATCAAAGGAAAAGTCAGGATACAGTATTGAGGGATTGAAATCAAAGATAGTGACTTCCAATTGAAGTAGAGAAATTTTCTGTTTAAATGGAGAAAGAACAGTAAGGACAAGAATTTAATTCACTAATCATTCTGAATTTCAAGGGGTAATTCTAGTATTTTATGGCAGATTAAATATGGAGCAGTTTCTATTCTAGATTGCATTGGGAACTAATGTAATGTTTTTGTATCTTATGTATTGGTCAGTTGGTTACCTTATAAGTAAATAAAATTGAAGCTTCATAATAGTTTTAGATAATTGTTGGGTTACTAGTCCTTAATAAGGACCCAGAGTTGATATCGGTTGTCAGAATCTTTTAGAGGATTGCCAGTAGCTGTGAGCTTCATGTACCAAGCGACTTGCATGCTTCAATTTCAATAACTGCTGGTTGGATTAAAATATTGTTAGTGGAGTGTTAATTTCTAACTACCATTTAGTTGGTGCTTTTAACTTCAAATAGCAGCACACTATATGTACTAAAAACTGATTTTCAGAAAAAAGGACTGAGATTTGATTCATTTAGTTATCCTGAGTTGTCTTATCCAAAAAATAGTTATCCTGAGTTGAATCCCCAAGTAGCATGGTGTGCCTAACCTCCAGAATTCTGCTGAGAGTTTGATATGCTTCATGACGGCCCAACTCATAGGATGCCTAAAAACCAAAATTTGGAAACAGGAATCAACTTAAATAAATCAACAAACCAAAAAAGGCAAACATTTGAAATCAATGATACGATAAGCATAGGGTAAAAAGAATTTTAAATCTCTAAATCCTCATTCCTTTCTTATTTCATGATAGCCAGGTGCAATAAATTGAGTAAGATGTTTTATTCATTTAGTTAAATACTAATGGGAAAATCTTTCTGAAATCTCTTTGCCTTTCATAAGTAGGAGGATGTGACATGTTCACCTCAGCTCAATCATTATAGATTCTTTAATGATGTTTCTCGTGTTAAAAAAATTGAATCTTTTATCTTTAAAATAACTATCTAAAAGTTTAAAATTTACAATAAGAATTGAAAGTTTAACGGTAAGTAGCCACTATCATGCTAAGTCCAAATTTAACAGTTAATATGAATTAATTAAATATACTCTAACAGAAGCATCTTAACTTTCAATATTATTAATAATTCAACAGCTAAAAGATTAAACTCGATCAATCTAGCGACAAAAACCACAAATATTGGTGTTTAGAGTAAAAAAATACCTGAAAAGAAAGCTTAACAAATTTATAGATCAGATCAATTAGATCCTCGTCAGCTCCTTTAATGATAGCTGAAGCTAGCTCCAACATTACACATCTGTAAAAATTTGTTTAAATAAAGAATGGAAGCACTGCCTCAGCGAGACAGTTTATGAGACATAGAAAATATCTAACCATTAAACATCGAAAATATCTATAAAATATCTAACCAGTTTATGCCCTTGAATAAATAAATAAAACAATAATATATATAAAATAAGTACAGAAAACGTAGCCATAGAAAATATCTAACCATTAAACATATCAAATGGAAAGAGTGTTCTTTAACAAGAAACTGAACTTTCAATGAGACAAATTAAAAGATATGCAAGGGCATAAAAAAACAGCCCGACCAAAGAAAACCCCCTAGAGACAGGGGCTCAAATGGAAAGAGTGTTAAAGAACTTAAATTTAAAAAAAAAATAATAATTGTTGAAGCTGGTAGATTAAATGGGAAGGGAAAAAAAGAACAGGGTTTTCAAAATGAAATTTAAGAGGGACTGGGTCCAACAAGATACCGAAATGATTTAAAGATCATATGAGGACAAAAAAAAAACAACAAAATGAGAGGGAAAAAAAGAAACAAAGGCAAATGATAACTATTGAAGAGAAAACCAAAATAAAAATTGAAGCAAAAATGTTGAAGACCAGAAACTTTTGCAAAAGAAGAGCAGAGGTTGCTCTAGAAATCAAGAAATATTGTTGACACTGATCGAATTATTGACCGAAGTCAATGCTAAAATTGTTTCTCGTGAAAGAAAGAAATCAAAGGGTAGAGTCGAAGAAGGAAGAAGAAGTGACGAATGAAGAAGAAAGAAGTCACCGAGTTAAAAATGGATGCTAAAGTTGAAAGAAACTTTTGGACTGAAATTCAAAGGCTAGAGTGAATGAAAGAAGATGAAAAAAACTGTTCAGATCATTGTTCTAAGAGCCACAAAAACCTTGTGCTTAAGTGCACTTCTATGGTATCACACAACTTTAATTTATTTAATTTCAACCTACAACATCTTGCATGGAACAAAACTGTGAATTTACCTTTGAAGATCAACCTTTCTAGTCCCAAAACTTCCTTCAGCATTCTGAGCTAGTTCATCAGCATTGCCTCCTGGCTCCTCAAATTCACCCTTGGTATTTAGAAACTGAAACCTCTCAAGCAGTGACATAAAAACTTTTTTGGTCATCCTGGAGTCCGTGATGGAACCCAAGCATACAATGGCATCCTGATAATATATGATAGATATTGTTATTACTAACAAATCTTTTCCACGGCTTACATATAAGGCCATCTGAACAGCCAACCACATAAGGAACCATAAACATCAATTTGCACAACAGCAAAGCTAAACTTAAAATGCTAAAACCAAAATCATGCATTAAAGAAGGAAACATTCTCAAACAACAACAGAAAGATGCTACTCATTATCATGACCAAAAGCATCAAAACTCAACCGGAGGTTCTATACAATTTGATTTTCCATACAACGGCAAATAAATTACAAAAGGATCAAAGTTAAAGTTTATATAGAGATGGCTACGGTTATCAAGCTAATTCAAATTTAATTTGTCTGAGTATACTTGACCACTATCTAAGAAGCATTGGACAGAGTGTCCTTGTAAAACACATATCGGATACGGATACGTCCGAACACATAATCATGCATAAATATTTCTCATATTTTTTTAGTTCATATGGTTAGAACTTCTTGTATAAATATGGGTGTTACTCACCACTTAAGAGATAAGGAAAAATTTTTCTCATATACAAAGCTTCACTTCGGATGTTCCACAAAATACAATGTCATCTTATATTTCACCATCGATTTGTTTTGTGTTGTGCAACATCAGAACAACATAATCATGCATTCTTTGGTAGTCCATAGGTCTTGTCTTGCTAGAATCATCTCTTCCAGATACCTAATTTGTGTTGAGTTTTCTCTCAAGATTCTCATAACTATGTTCTTCAACATTTTTTTTTTAATAACCAAAAGTCGAAGCTTTGCTCCCATATACGAGGCACTCGTACTCGCTCCAAGGCCTGGACCTATGAGACCTCAAGGATTTTTGGTATTAAGCTCAMTCGATGGTTCGAACTTGAGACCTCTAAGCTAATATGACCAAGAGACCCAAAACCTTTTCCAACTGGGCTGCTCCTTCATAGCCAGAACTATGTTCTTCAACTTATTACTAATCCACCAATTTATTATGTATAAATGTGGTTAAAGCTATTATTTCAGAGATTTTGTTGGAGAGCAGTCAGAAAACTTTTGAAGACACTCAGAGGTAGTGGATGGATCGTTTTGAAGTGTCTAGCCTTATAATTCTTTTGGCCAATTGGAAGGCTGTTTGGTAATCCTTTGGCTTGGGTTCCTTTTCCCATTGTTATTTCATTTATCAATGAAATCCTCGTTTCTCTTTAGGGAGAAAAAAACAAAGAAAAAGAAATTTTAAGTAATTAAGATTTGTCTAGTTACTTCTTCAGTGGAAGGAATCTCATGAAGCCCACTAATAGACATTTTTACTTTTATTTTTATTTTTAAGAAGATACGAACTTCTCATTGATATAATGAAAAGGAACAAAAATATTTAAAGATACAAACTCCCGAAAAAAGCAAAGACGGAAAACTTAAAAAGGGAAAATAAAAGCGTCCCAGTTAGAACAAATAAGGCTAGGAGAATGATTCCCATAAAGAACTGAAAGAAAACACCATTAAGAGGATTTAAACTTAGCTAAACGGAAACTCTCGAATGAAGACTTGCTCTTGCCTTCAAAAATCCGAAGATTTCTTTCAAACCATCATATAAGACGGCCTTGATAGCATTAATCCATAGGACTCGAACTTCAGGAGATAAAACCGGCCAACAAAGCAACTGATTTACACAGCTTCACAACCGAAAACCCATCCAAGATTGAATTCACAGGATAACAAATGCCAACAATGTTGTGCATAGGAGCAGTGGCATAAAAGATGGGCAAGGCATTCTCCATTGACATGACATAAAATACATAACGAAGGCAAAAGGGTGGAAGAGGGAAGCTTCTTTTAGAGAACATCAGTTGTATTTAACCGCCCTTTTAAGATGATCCAGGTGAGAATGTTTACCTTCTTTGGGCTCTTAGATTTCCATTGAACCTGAAACAAGTCAGATGGCATAATGACAGCCGTAAGAGGCCTACATAAAGAGGCAATCGAAAAAACTCCTGTGGGCTCCAAAGACCAAACCCTCCAATCTTCTTCACAATTGGGACAAAACGGATTTAGTAGAAATAGAAGTTCTATAAACTCATCTATTTCATCATCTTTGAGAAACCGTCTTGTTTGGACTTCCCATGAAAGTGTAGCTGAATCCCAATAATCAAAGATTGTACCGTGAGGAGCAGAAGAAAGCTAAAAGATTTTGGGAAATCTAATCTTTAAAGGAAGGTCTCGAAAGGTAGTAGATGAGTGACAGCTCAAAGTGAAAAAAAAGTTTAATCTTCAAGTTAAAGACTTTCAGTGAGCAGCCTGAAAGAATTAATGACTTTCAGTGAGCATTCTCCACTGGGGCAGTCTTGATAGAATTAACTGAGATTTCAGGGTAAGATCCTTGAAGCTAAAGACCTCGATATTACTTGGGGAAAATGGAACAAGGGATACATACTCAGTACTATTTATTCTATCATTATTAGTGACCAGCCTTGAGGTAAAAAAATTAAAGCTTCAGAAGATCTTCATCAAAATGAACCCCTCAATCTGTTCTTATTCTTATTGGTCGCAAATTATCTTAGTGGTCTCTTTAATAGACGTAAGGAAGATGGGTCGACAGAAGGGTTTCAAACTAGCAAACATGAAATTATACCCCAGATGAAAGCATTGCAAGCATCACTAAAAAGTAAAACCACCTCTCTCTATAGGCCTTTCTCTATCCAGACACCCTCATATTTCTAAAGACTAAAATAATAAATAAAATTATTGCAATAATCTTAGATGACAGCCCAAAAAAATGCAGTTTTTTATGTTCAAATATAAAAGTAGGTATAATTTAATATTTCATTATGTTCAATAAGTAGTTGCTGAGATACTAGAAGGAAAACCTTCAAATGTGAGCGCTTTGTTGGTACAGAATCAACAAATAACTCAGCTAGAGCTTGAAGCAACTCAGCCGAAGATGATGCCAATGCCTTCATGTTCTTACTTGCCGTTTTCTTTGAATTAACAGATACATCACTGAAATTTGGTACAACAGTGTTCTGATTCACGAGGACCTAGACCAATTAAAACAAATTAAAAACAACTTAATCAAAAGAATAAAAGCAAATAAAATGAAACAAGAAAAAGTAGTAGAAAGTAAAACATCATAAAAGTCAACAGTATTGTGTGACCTGTATGGCAACAGCAATATCTTCATGCATAAAGGAGTCTTCTTTAAGAAGTGTAATTAAGAATTCAGTAAGAATTCCAATACTTTGGTGCATATCACTCGGATGGCGACAAAAAGCAGGTAGTAATCTCCATAAATTACAGGCACAAGTCTGTAGATTTTTACGCGTTGTAGTCTTCTTAACTGTGACGAGAGTAATTAAGTTGAATTGAACAACAAAACCAAAATAAAAATCTAAAAATGAGTATGAGAAAAATACAAAAAAGTGAGAAAGCAAAAAATTAGGGCCACATTATCCACTCGCCCAACCTTACATACCCATTAATTCCCAGGTCAAGAAGATATGGAACAAAGACTCACCTTTACAACTCTCCTGCTGAAATGATTTTGCAAGTGGCACAATATGTTCCAGATAGTACCCAAGTGATGCTCCAATAACATGACTTTGTAGAATTGGTACCAACCACATGTTCCGAACGGTTAAGTCGCCAGCATCAATTGATATGGGAACAAGAGTTAGTATCTTCTCGGGTCCCATAGCAGTTACAGCAGATCCAATACATTTCTGAATCTGTAAAGTGAACGGAAGCAATTATTAGGTAACAAACCGATCTTCTTTCAAAAAAGAAGAAGAAAAGGCCAGGAAACTTGAAAAAAAAAAAGCTTGATCGACAAAGATAAGAAAAGGAGAAGTAGCAATGCCTGGTCCAAGTTACAAAAGATACACCAGGTGACAGAGAGAATAATTGGGAAACTTGTGTGTATTCTTTCATGGATATTAATCCCTCCCATGAACCACATACCAGAGGGAAAGAAAAAAAAAATCTTACAAGCTTTACTCTTCCAATAATGTCTAGTAGTCAGTAGAGATAACCCAATAGTAGACAATTAGCTTTCTTAGAAAAAATTAATTTTCTTACAAGCTTTACTCTTCCAATAGTGCATCAACCTCTGTTAACAAAAAATCCTCACTTCCTCCTTACCTCCACTGCAAAGAGGAGCTTTATCTAGTTGGAAAGGGTTTATCGTACCTATGAAAATATTTGGCCCACTGGTTCCTTACCTTTAAGTTGCAATACGAGCACTAAATGGGTTTATACTTTAGTTCCGTACAGCAAACTTCTATTTCTTTCATATCATTATCCTTTCCATATTTCTACATGGTACCTCTATCTTCCTCTCCCTGAGTTCCTCTTTCCCCCTCGCCCTCTAGCCTCCTCTAGATGGCCACTGCTTCCAGGAACTATACGATTCACTCCACCAAGATTTAGTGGAATCTTTACTATAGAAGTTGACATCAAACACAGAGAAACCAAGAAAATATATGAAGACTGGAAAAGATAACTCTTACTTCATCTCTCTACACTGGAACTACATCCTGTAGCTATCTAATTCCTTCCAAGTTCTTCCCTTGACCCCTTTCGATCAGAAGTTTTTAAAAGAAGCTGAGAAATTAGAACCATGTTTTCGGGACTGAGAAAACTACTAACAGAGAGGAGTTCTTAGATGGTAAAGCATAGGCTTTGGCTGCTCTAATCATCTCGTAATCCCTGTTGGTAAGAAAAACATTGGTTCTGCAACCTCATCCATAACTACCCTGTTTTCGATGTTGTTGCTTCTTCCCCGTGACAAGATGCCTCAGATACTCGCCTTGAAAAAAGTCTTCTACTGATGCTTTGTGTTCAAACACTCTCCCTTCAATCCTTGTTTCCTCTTCAAGTTCCAACCGAAAGAGTTTTCTGCAACTCCCTTTGGATCTAGTTGAGGCTTTCCTATTACTTTTTGTAATTTCATTCATCAATAAAATTGAAATTTTGTTACTTAAGAAAAACTTATATTGCTTGACACATAATTGACACTAGATATATGTCAGCAAGTTGAGAAACTTGAAGGATATTAACAAGTGGTACATGATATGTAAATGTTAATCTTTTAGGTACAGAATGGATATGCAAATGTTAAAAATGTTGATTACACTTACATTATCAATATTAGATATATTCCCTGCGATATTCATCAAATCAGCAAGTTTGAGCAAAATATGTTTCATAAAGATGAAAGAAGTGGTTCCTACAATGAAAATGAAAAATACTTAGTAGACCAAACAGTAATTTTGCAATATGTTAAAAACTTGAGCAAATCAAAGGATAAACTATATCAGCACAACGAAAGCTAACAGCTAATAAGAAAGTACGAGCAAGGAGAAAATTACACAATCGACTATAGTGGTTCAAACACCAGCTCAATACCCCTATATGCACTGCACAAGAGCCACCATCAGAGATTCAGAGATTTTGATGAACTCTCCAAGAATATGAATGAGGCTCAGTACAATCTTCAACCACTGGGAAAAACACTCAGTCTCACTCACTGAAACACGAGAGGTAAAAAATTTCCAGAATGAATATATCTTTCCTTTCCCATAGACCCCTAATAAATAATTTGGAACTTCCTTTATAGAGGAATTTTGTTCAAGGAAGGGAGAAAAAATATGATCACTTTTGAGCATAAGTTGCACACAAAGGGGGAAAGAGTCTGTCTTGGGTATTAGGACCACAAAAAAACCTTAACTTTCTCCGAAATTCTGAACTTCCAAATGGAAGAATGCGGGAGGATTTCAAAGTAGGGGCCAACTCTGATAACTTTCAAAAAGGCTGCTTTTGTACGGTCTGAAAATGGGAAGAAATGTAATAAGACCTATGGAAGATACTCATATATTATTCGAAAGCCAAATGACAGAAACTGACAACATCCAAGGCATTGAATAGGAAGCCATAGAAGTCACCCAAGAAACACAGGGAAGTGGAAAGGAACTATAACCTATGTCCTATCATATCAATATTGGAGACGTACCTAGTTTGAGAAACAAAGCAGATATGACATCCAAAATATGTTCTCCAAGATCTCCATCATAACTATTAAGGACCTCCTCAAAAATGGCACACGTCGATTTTATGGCTTGAACTTCGATGCTCTCCTGGTTGTCCTCTAGACATGGATGTTTACCAATCAAGCATTCACGATCCACATGATCCTGTATTAACTCTTTAAGTACACCAGAAGCATGTAAACTCTTACTCACATCAGAAGTCAAAAGACCTGCATCATTAAGTCAATAATTCCAACACATAAAAATATGAGTGCCAGAGATCCTGGAATACATCACAACAGATAATATGAGCGCCCGAGATCCTAGAATAACACACCAAGGGATGTTAGTTTTGGTTTCTTAACAAAAAAGAAAAGATTTTTTTCTAATGTAAACATAAACATCATGATGAGATCAAATTACATTAAGAAATGTGAAGAAAGGGAAACGTTGGTGGCCTAAACAAAACAACAAAGGCAACATGAGGCTATACAAACCAAACCCAAAAAATAACGACTATTAGTTAAAATAATACTAAAGGTCCTCGAGATACCTGTTACATTGCCTAGAGAAAATCTTAGACACTTGTTTCCCGAACATGCTATTTTCAAACTTCAATGTCCCTCGATGTGTTATTCTAGTATCTCGAGCACTCGTATTACTAATGTTTTCTTCATTGTCACTTATGCCAAAACTTCATTGAATCTATTATCTTTCTATCCAACTCTGGATGACAAGAATTATAAAACTTCGAAAATAGGATCAAAAGATAATAGAAGGATGTACCTAACAAGCTCATTTGAGTGGATACAAAATCTCCCTTTTCTACATCTTACAAAATGTATATACCTTCTTTTTCCAAAAACTATATATACATTTACCCCCAAAAAAAATTTAGATTGTCATGAACTTCGGAAGTAAAGTTGAAGCAAGGAAATTCTTGGTTTACCACTTTACCTGCCAAATAACCACACACTACAGGAAGATTTCTGATCCCTCCACTTGAACCTCCTGCATCCATGGCACATTTCAACAACGTGATAGCAGAAAGCACTGTGTCTAAGGGGTTCTTATCTCCCAAAGAAAGGTACGAGCCGACTGAAACAATAATGTTTTCAACTTCCAAAGCAATAACTTCAGCTTTTGAAGAATTAAGAATAAGTTCGATAGCTTTGAAACTGTGCCCTGTAACTACAGAGAACTGTGGATTTACAAGTTTAATCAATTCTTTAAGTATTTTCAAACGAATTTTGTTTGATAGTAATGGAATAGCAAGTATGATAACATTCAGTATGTGCAGGACATCAAGATGTTGACCATTTGACTGATTATCTTCCTCACGCCCATCAACAAGGGCGCTGGTACTTAATTTAATTGCCAATGGCATGCAGCTTTTCAGCAGCAAAAAAACCAACTTGCTGGCCTCTTTCTTAGTAGCAGAATGCTTCAAAGAGTTCAAAACCGTAATAAGCGAATCTTGGGCACAACGTCGAACCTGCATTCAAGAATTGGCATATCAAATCGAGAATATCAACCCCTAAGTTGTATTAAATGATTGGCAACAAAGATTGGTTCAAGAAAATTTGAACTTTCAATGAAAAACTAATAATCCTCAGCCACCCATGGCCAATTTTTTTTATAATTGGAGCACCCGTGCCCGCCCGAAGCCCTAACCCGGGAGACATTAATGTTTTTTTTTGTTATTAATAAAAATCGGAAGGTTGAACAGGAGACCTCTAAGAAAATATCAATAATAGACTCCCTTTCGCCAATTTGAAAAACACTTCCGCATGAAATACAAATCAACTGCATACCTTGGGACGCCGATCAACCGAGAACTTCAGCAGAATTTCAAATCCCAACTGAACCGAGCCCCAATCATCCAAATTACAAAATCCTAACAAAACCCCCAAGCACTTCACCGCAGCCCTCACGCTGGACACAGCCAAACTCTTCTTCCCCAGCAGCACCACCAGTACGCCCACCGCCTCGCTCGCATTTGGAGCAGAAATTCCCCCCGGCGGCACCAGGGGGAGCGTGATGGCTAAAAATGACAACAAAGCAGACACCGCAGTAGGGTCCAGGGATTCAGAAGCGGAGGCATTATCAATGGCGGAGATAGCGGCGGCGAAGTAGGCGGCGGGGGTAAGGGGGAGGGACTCCGCCTGGAGAATGGAGCGCATGGCGACGGCGGAGGCGAGAAGATGGCGGTGCTGTGCGGCGGAGGACTTGGCGTAGCGGTCCATGAGTTGGCCACATATGTCGGAAGCATCGCTGAGAGCTGCTACGGGTTCCGTATCATCGTTCTCCGGCTGTTGCTGCTTCTGCTTCTTCTTCTTCTTGTGTTCTTCTGACATGGTTTTGAATTGATTGCTTCTTTCTGGGTTTACTTTCATGGAAGCACGATTTCAAGAACGCAGCTACAGCTGTAGCTGTGGGAAGGGATTCAAAAATCTAATTGGAGCAAGACGAAGGGTTTTTGGTATATGGGGTTTTAGCGCGGCGCCTTTTTTTCTCTTTTTCTTTTTTGGCTAAATATGTGATTTGATTCTTAATATTAGACCTTTTCTAAATTTATTCTTTAGGGTTAAAAAAGTTTTAACTTACTCCATGTGTTTCAAGACAATATTTTGTCAATTTAATCTCTCACTACGTGAATGTTTCCCTTAATTGGTGACAAACAAACATAGTCCATCTTTAATGGAAATTTAGGGAAAATATAATTTTAAAGTAAAATAAAACTCGAATTTTTTATCAATTTCTGAAGGTTATAGGATGGATTAGAAACTTTCATGTATTAAATGAATTTTTTTCTTTCTAAATTTTTACTGATTCACCAAATATCATGTCATATTCGTTTATAGCCAACTTTAACAATTATCAAAGATGATGGACTAAATTGAAAATTGTTATAACATAAATTGTTGACATGGAATTGCAGAGAGGTCTACGTGTTCCTTAGACGAGTAGCTTCGCCGAGGATCAAATGAGCCTTCAACTAGAAAACTCAACGCCAGTGCGTGTCTCACCTAATACACTCTGACGTTCAAGTTAGTAATCGGAGTAAGAAATAAGAAAAGACACATTTAGTGTTTTGTGTGACAGATTTTTAACTTACCTTGTGAAAGTGAGCGTCCTTCCCTTTTATAGGCTCGGATGACCTACTAAGAAGGACGATAGTTGGGATGGCAGGGACGTGCCATGTTGTACGGTTCTTTGATGGGGAGTGTATGCCCTTGACAATTAGTGAGTGGCACATTCGCCTGCAGGCCTAAAACCTATCACCTGCAGCTGGCTGGTCGCATTGCTCAACGCGCTTCCCGTACTTCAGGAGTGGAGGCGCTCCCTCCTACCATCGCAGTGTACGGCATGTAATCGCTTAAGGTCCTGCGCCTCGCAGCTTTTGACGTGTGTCCTACTCGATTTTACCCTTAATAATTAGCCCCCTTTTGGGGTTAGGCTACTCAGCCAGGAGGAGACTGGGTCCGAAAGCACTGAAGTAAAGCGGGATGACTGCGGTCTGCGTGGCGAGGCACGCGTTGTAGAGGATCTTCTCGAATCGGGACGTGGGGCCTGCGTTATGCAACAGTCGCGATGGACTGAGGTTTGCTTGTACAGTCACATTTATGAGAGGACAGATGTACGCTGTCGTTTCGTGGGTCGCCGCGTCCTTGGCGCGGTGGTCGAAGCGGTGAAGTTAACGGTTGTGATTTTAAGTGCCATTGAGATTCGAAACGATGCCTGGAGAGGCTTTAAATTCCTCAGACGGGGTGAAGATGATTCACTTCACCTCCTTCACTTCCTGCTTTCTAGACTTCTCTTCGTTTTTCGTATTCGCCATGGCCGGTAGTAAAAACGTTCAATTCATCATCAACCATTCCTTAGTGACCTACGTCCACGTTCCGTCGCAGGTGACGGAATAAGACCTCATAGACATCTGCTTGATATACCATGTCCCTTATTACATCCTCATGTGTCTTCCGGTGAAGGACGGTAGGATTGACGCTCCTCCCGCAGGTGGGTAATTTTTTACCCTCAATGTTCCCCAATTGGGTGAGACTTTAACTCTCCCAGTCCTTTATGTCATTCGCCCTAGTTACGCTGGCTTAACCACCCCCTAATGCTTGGGGGATGATGATGGTGTTGGCCATACTTTTGTCGAAACTTGACAATAGGGAACAAATGACGTTGGGCCTTTTGACCGCATTAACGATGTTGAAGTCCATCTCTGGCTTCCCAGGGTTTTACAACTTAAACTCCCGTCCTGGGATACTCTTTAAGCCTCCTTCCTCGAACAAGACCACTAGTTCTTTGTTGGCGAACGATGGCTGGCTGGCGATGAACAGATTTGCAGGTGCGTGCGCAACCACTTGAGGGAAAACGGTCAGTATTCGACCGTTACTCCCTCTTTTTTTTCGTTCATGGTTATTCTGACGACGTAGTTTTCTTTCTATGACGCTGTCAAGTGAGGTGGCACTTCCTCCTCCCGAATCAATGACGGTATTGCGGAAGATTCAGGATATTCTCCTTTCTCAAAGGGTTCCCATGTCCATTGCTTCGGATGAGAAGTTGGAGCTTCATCACCTCATCGGGGACCCTGCAGGGTCGGTTTGAAACTGTGATGACTTCTCTGACCAAGCCAGCGCATCAACTAGTAAGTTTGCTCAAACATTCATTTGCACAGATTTGGCGAGCTGGTTGTCTTCTCATAACTAGGTTTCTCGTGTAGGTTTAATAAGGCCACAACTGGCTTATTCACAAGATCGTCTACTTAGCTCATTTTGAGGACAAGACAAGACTCTCTGAGCGGGGCTTGTAGCGGTAGTAGTGTGGGCGTTCATGAGTGCGGCAGCGATCGTGTCCTCCCCCACCCTTATGACCAAGACTAACGGTGAGAGTTAATCGGTCAAGCTGTTGACCAACCACGAGGAAGCAGTACCTCCGCTTAATCGTCGTCACTTACTGAGATCGTGGCTAGTCCTTCAACGGGGGTGCATATCAATGAACCTGCCTTCCGGGTCGAGGATGTCGCTGAGCCATC